AACTCAAGATTTTTACATTATGACACGTGGCGTGACGGAGTTGGTTAAAAATCCTATTCAAAATTAAACATAATTTATCTTCTTTTATTAATTTTATAAAGAATAATTTTTTAATGCCAATTACCCAAGCAATTCATGTACATAATTGAGATGCACTCGAACAATTACTTGAAATAAGTTGGCAGATTTTCAGGTATGAGTCTACCTATTTAACATGATCCATCTGCATATTCATATAAAAGTAAATAATTTTTGTTTTGAAATTTAAAGGTATGTGTTCTCTTCATTTTTCCAACTTTTGTTTTGCTTTGTGTTTCTATGTTTTATTGGCCAAAAAGTCACAAATGATACATGTGGTTTACATTAATGATGATGCTATCCACATGCCTATTTTTACTTCTTACACACCCTAGCTTTCTGTCGTTAGATCGAATAAATTGAAGAAAATCAATAAATAAAATTTAACAATGGTGTGTAGGAAGTAAAAAAAAAAAAGGTGTGCAAATAGCACTACCCTTACCATAATGGTACTTTCAAAGTGATTTGCTACCCACTCACTGGGGATGGCGCCTGCCCTACTAACCTGAGGGCTTGGGACGTGTGACCGCAAATCTCTTACCCACTTAAACTTATCTCCCATACAAGAAAAACTTGTGTGGGGATCAGCTTGCCACTAGACTTTGTTAAGTGACATTACAATCCACTCAAAACTCACCACGTGGTAAGTTTTAATATACCATTTTATTCCCTATCATTCTACTATAAAATTTCTTTTCTACCAATTAATATACACCATGAGATTCATCTAACAATTCGTATTTTTCCCTCTCCTCCCTCTCCTTTTCCTTCCCTCTCTGCTATTGCCCACTTGCAATCTTCTTCAACTATCATGAAATGAAAGGAAATAAAAAATAAATTAAAAAAATCAATTTTAGAACACACAATTAAAATCATCCCAATCCTTGACCATGTCTTGGTTGAGAAAATTCACCATATGATCTAAATTCCAAGCTACTGTTCGTCAAGGTAGAAGAAGGAAAAGAAAAACAAAACGTACAGATTATTTAATATATTTTTATAGTCAATTTTGTTGTTAGTTAAGGTAGAATACTACAATTCATATTTATTGATAAACTATTAGAATTGTAGATGCTTTTTGTTTACAAATCATATTCTTATGAAGAAAAGAAAGGAACAGTGGGGAAGAAGACTACAAGGGCAGAGAGGGAAGAAAAAGGAGAGGAATGAGAAGAAGTAAAAAACTAACAAAAGTAAAACTACACTACTCAAGTACTGGTTTTTCTTTTTTAAGAAAAATGTTGCTCTGTGTTTTAATTTTTTCATCCACACAGTTTTCTTTTCAAATTTGCGGAACCTTTGTGCATTGAGAAGAAAAATACCAATAAATCAAAAACCTACTTTTTGTTCGAGACAGTTTTGCACTACTAGGCTCCCCTGACTGTTGCCTTTGTTTGTTCGATAGAAAGCTCCATCTCAGACGTATTATTGCTTGTAGCTTGCGGTACATAATGATTGAGGTACCTATCACAGCGATTGAGAAATCTGTCATAGCCCTCAGGTTTTCTAAATATATTCCAAAATGTGTCTTCGTATAAACAGACATGGCTTAATTAATCGCTGGCTAGCTAGCCATTAGGTCCCTTACAACTTCAAATCAGTCACTCACATGTATGCATGCATGCATACTTCTTTTCCAGTTTCTGTACCAGCATTACCTGACTGCCAAGGCACACTACAGCCCAACTGCCTCTCTCTTCCATTTGCTGATGAAAAATCCCAACAAATGATATTGATAAGTATATGAAATATAAGGCCACATCTTATCTTTTTCGTTCTTTGAGTTGTTTTCAGACCATTCACGCTATCACCTCTTCACTAAGCAAACGTACGTACTCTGTCCTATAAGGCGATTGATCTCTTTTTGTAATCTTCATTTTTATTCTCCTAGCTAGATTTTATTTTTACTGGGGAAAGGTCACGGACGACTTCTTTATACATTCATCCATACTCAAACTTTCTATTTCTTTTTTTAATAGGATAAGTGTATACTAAGATCTTTAACGGAAGTCGTGAGAAATAGTAGCAGAGTTAATCTCATGCATTGTTAATTTGTTACCTCAACGACTAGGAAACAATACATATTAAAATTTTGAACTTGATCAAGATATTAGGTATTTGAGTGTGCAAGATCGATTATCAAACTTCAACGTCATTTGTATTTGTAATTAGAGCATTGTTTATGAGTCTAAAATTGATTGATAAAGTGTTAAGCCAATTGATCTAAGCTATATATTGGTATATTCCAATAGAATCATTGTCTTATGATGCTAGTATATATCTTTAGAATATTATGCCTGTCCTCATGTGTTGTTACATCTTCAAAGAGATATTGATGTGTACATATGAAGAGAATGACAAATTCATTCCACAAAGCCCCTATTTTCGTAAGATAAATTATATCTTATCCAACCCACACTGCCTCTATTCTCCTCACATTAGTTTAGTGCTGCAGATCTTCAACCACACAGCCAGAAGCATGCATGCATGGTCGAACTCCTGAAAAATAGCATAATTTATTTATTTAATTTTGGCTGTTTCATGCTTGGTATTCCTGAATCAAATATACATGCATATTAAAACACATTGAGAAGTAGCAGCACATTAAAAATTATTAACTGAAGGAAAAAAAAAAAAAAAAGCATTATCTCATCAGGACTTCGGAAACTGGTTGAAGAGTCTCTTGAACCATAATACTTGGAAGTCGGAAACCTTATCCCCATCACTTACAACTTACAAGGTCAAGCTTCTGATCGGCAGGTTTTGGCCCCTTTCTTTTTTGCAATTAACCATACTTCCAAAATTCCAAATCAATGTACTGTGCAACTGCATGCTTTCATATATATCACAATGCCCTTTTAAGAGGAGATTCCTGTTATTTTTAAAAGAAAACAAGGACAATTGTGAGGCTCACATTACATTACATTAAATTTCAACGATCTGAACTGTTTATTTTTTCAAGTTCTATCTCATAGATTATCCTTGCAAAATATTAGTCAAATCGGAAATATTTGAGTCATCTAATTGAGTTCAACGAAATTGACAAATACTATGTTATAAGAAACATTGAAATTTCATTGTGAAAATAAAATGAAGAACTGATTTCGGATTGAATTAAATTTTTGTAAAGATGATCTATGAATCGAGACTTATAAAATAGACGGTTCAAATGGTTTAAGTTTGATGTGTAGCGAGTCCCACAACATCCTCATTTTAAAAGAAAATTGAAGATCTATACTCTTAAAAGGTTTGATCACAAACATATCAGTCTACAATTACAAGAAAACAGGCTTAGGGGTGGGCACAGTCCGGTTCGGCCCGGTTCCACCCTCAAAATGGAACCAGAACCGGAAAATTTCAACAGTTCAGTTCGGTGCGGTTCCGTTTAAATTTATTATTAAAATCGTATGGTTCGGTTCATGACGATTTCAGTTCGGTTCATGTCGGTTTATGGTATGTTTTTTTTCTTTCTAAAATTCTACTTCTAATACCAAACACATATTTCAACCACAAATTCAAGTAAATTTGAGTTTCTACTACTAGATCTACAAGATTTGTGACCGGAAGATAGAAAGTGTGCATATAAATATAAATCAAAAGATAGAAAAGCTCATATCAAGACCAAAGTGTAAATCTTAAATTAAAACTAAAATGTACATAATGCATAACATACTGGAAAAGAATGGAGAAAAATAATGTAGGGGGAGAAAAGTGATAAAACAACAAAGGAGGGGGAGAGAAGTGAAGAAAAATATTGGGCTTATGCACATGGTCTTCTTGGAAAATGTCTTATTTATATAAAAATAATAATAAAACAATAATTTATATTAAAAGCGGTTCAGTCCAATTATTAATATTTCCAAACCGGAACCGGAACTGTTTGAAACAGTTCGGTTCGATTTTTATTCCAATTTTGACTTTTTGGTCAATGTGATTTTTTACAGCTTTTTTTGTTACGGTTCGATTCGGTTTTCGGTTTAACGGTTTTTATGCCCACCCCTAAACAGGCTTGCAGTGACCAATTTATTAGTGACCATAAGAAAAAAAGTTAATAATATTATGAATCTAGTGCCATTTTGCTAACAGGTCACCAAGCTCAGCTATTAACCTTTAATTACCTAATTTTAGTGACCCAATTAAAATTTGATCACTAAAAATAGCTTGATTTATAATCAGTGGCCAATAATAAAAAATGAAAATTAATCTTTTGAAAAAAAAAAGTTTTTAAGCAAAGGAAGAAATCAAGCAAAAATTGAACCCTTGGTTTTCTTTTTATGAGCCCTACTTTCCTCTTACAAAAACTCTCTTCAAGCCCTTTGTTTGGATGTGGATCTTACATGTGTCTATTGGACCCATTTAGGAACCCTCAAGTTTCTCATCGAGGCCCATCTGTGTTTATTCTTCCGTTCAGCGGTTTTCTTTTTCATGTATTTGGGATGAAAAATTCGACCGTGGGATATATTTCCAAAGTCAGAGAGAGAGATACTACTAAACTAAGAGCTAGTTAGGATACTCTTCCACATAAAACAGTACTACTAAACGAAAAGCTAGTTGGTCTTCCATTTAGGGTTTGGACACATACAATATGATCATGGAATTTATATTGCAGTGTGTATATATATATATATATATTTTTTTTTTTTTTGACAAACAATAGATGTTGTTAATTAAATGTTAGATTAGCCACCGACTGAGTTTAAACCTACGTCATTATGCAAGAGCTCAACACATTTTTACCACTCTGATAAAGAGCCACTTGCTCAACCTATATATTCCAATGCTATGCAAATTGTCACTGATCAACCCAACTGTTGAACACATTAAATATTAATATGCGTTATTTACTTATTCCAAAAAATTTCCAATTGCAAGAGAATCCATTACTCAAATGTAATGCTTGTGACAGTGAAGGCTCAAGGAAATGCTCAAGAAACCAAACAATTTATTGAATCTACACCGTCAATCCAAAAACTATAAACTGCTTAGCACCAAACATACATCTTTCTAAATAAAAGGGAGGAACTGAAAGCAATGTCCTGCCTAAATACCACAATCTTGATGTTAAAAATTTAAACCATTTTAAGAAGAGTATATCCGGCCATATACATAATCAGTTCTTCCTCCTACATCATCTTACCTTTTAGAAAGCCCGCTAACGCTCGATTTGTATCGTGACATGGCTGATGTTATACTCCCTTCTGATATATGCTACTACGTTGTCCAGCACCATGTCTGCATTTGCTTCTGGTCTAACTTTCACATGGCAAGCCAGCAGGATTTTCCCCACTGTGATAGCCCATATATGTAGCTCGTGGACAGCCACCACTTCGTCCATCTCCAACAGTCCTGTTTCAAGTTTCGACGCATCAATCTCTCTCGGAGTGCTCTCCATCAGGACATCAAGAATGTTCCGCATCATATTGATAGTTGTCCCCAAAACAATGACTGAAAAGATTAGGGTGCAGATTAAATCGACTATCTTCCACTCCGGCTTAACCCATATGATTGCCCCTCCAATCATTACCCCGATACTTTGAATGGAGTCTCCAAGCACATGGAGATAAGCTCCCTGTAGATTTATGTTCCGTTGATTCTTCTCTCCTTGTCCATGTTTTGGCTTATCCAACAGTGGCTCAGCATGATCTTTGTCGGCGTGATGGTGTTTATGATCATCTTCATGAAGGTGCTCATCATGATCATGATCATGCAAGTGTTTCTCGAGAGCATGATCGTGATGATCATGATGAGAAGAAACAGTCATTCCATGACTATGACCACCGTGATCATGTCCATCATGTCCATGTCCATGTCCATGATCATGACCTAATAGTATGGCCATAACTATATTAACCACTAGACCAAATGCGGCAACAAGAAACATTAGAAATCCATTCACCTCGCTTGTGTTATGTATCATTCTAACTATGGCTTCATATACCAATATCCCTGCAAGCAACCATATGAGTTGGATGGATACCAGGGCACCGAGAATTTCAATCCTAAAAAACCCGTAAGACTGGCGGGGAGTGGCTTCCCAGCTAGCCGCCCACAGAGAGAACAAGGAGATGGCAAATGCTGCAACGTCCGAAAGCAAATGTGCTGCATCTGTCAATATTGCTAAACTATTGGCTTCAATGCCACCAACTACCTCAACAGCCATGAACAGAACACACAGTACCACTGCTATTAAGAGTTTGCGCATGGAAGCTGATCGTTCTTTGGCATCTTTAGAGTTGGATCCAACATCCGCGAGTCCACATGGTGCTTCCCCACAAATCTTACTCCCACCATTACTTGTCTCACCATCATGAACATCTTGATGGATCTCAATAACCTGTGCATGTTGAGTATTTTGTGCTTCCATCTGAAAATCCACAAAAATAACACAAGTAATATGAGTGAATGCTTAGTGCGGTCAGTATGCAAAATAGCACGGAAAAAAATGTTCTGAAATTGGACAAAGAAAAAAACGCAATATGATTCCATTACTTCACTTTCATGAAGCAAATTCCATTACTTCACTTTCATGAGCCAACAAAGAAGTTCATTGATTAGCACAGACCAAATGAAGTGTATCCTTAAATCTGTAAATAATTATTACACTTGCCTGTGACCTCCAATCTCTTTCGAACACGGTATTGCGATAAAGTTATCTAACAAGAATAACACAATCTATTGAAAATACCAGTGAAAGACATAAAAGGAATGATTCTAAACAAGGTAAGAAATTTTTTCAAAGAATTCTTCTATCATTTTTCTGGCTTTGACTTGCATCGTTTGCAGCCACTACAATTTATAGGCTTCAACATTCAACCATTGGAGTTCCTACCTAATGAGACATCCTATAGAAAACAAAACGCTCTTTGCCGGACACAATGCATCCTTTATGTAGGCAGATTTCTGGAACCTCATTAACCCCAAAAACTACAAACTATATCTTTATCAATATCCCTATTTTTCAAAACATAGCATAAGCATGTTAAACTTCCTAGGTGAAAATGTTTATGAGATTCCTGAAAGCAAAAACATGGTTTCCGCCATGGTTTTCATTTCTTCAGTAGTGGTCACACTGTCTAGTATCTAATTTCCTTAGCAACTTAGAAGGCATCAAAGCTTGCCAACACAATTCTCTGAGGATCATGGTTATAAAATTTCTAACTCATAGTAACTTCTGAAACCATATCTTCCTCTAAATTTCTACATAAAAAAATTGAAAAAACAATGGAAAGAAAAAAGATGGCATCTCATCCCAAATCCCAATTTCTCACAGACCCAGCACAATTCAATAAACCAGTGAAGCTCAGCTGGACTCAAATTTACCAGCTGTAGTTGCATTTTCATAGTCTAGTATGGAGCAGAAAACTCATGATCCATCAAATGACAGGAATTCAATTTAGCCAAACTAACATCTGTAGGAGCAGGTTTCAAAATCGCCTTAGATTGTCTAGGCCGGTTGCCAGGAGGATTTCGTAGCGTCCAAATAGGAACCAAAAACAAACTATATGACCTAATTTATTCATCAAATTGACAAAGTTGTTGCTGCAGATGTACTGCGAACAGGAATTCTAATAGTCCAAACATTCAGATTATCAAAGGCTTACACAAATCGCACGAACAACATCAAAGTAAGTTATGGAAATCACAACCCAAAAGACACATCAACAAAAGCTATCATTTCAGAATTTCACATACAACACAGCAGATAAGGAAATAGAAGAACCCCATTAACTATCTTTGGTGAAAAAACCCTATCACACCATCAAACCATTTCAAACATATATCGCATAATCTCTATCTTCCAATTCCAAGAGGAACAATTGATACAAGAAAAAGTTTATTACTTGATAAATATAAAAAACAGATTCACAGGAAAGTTAAGAATATATATAAATAGAATTAAGGACTTGAAAGAATCTACCTTTGAGTTTAGGCACTTGCGGCATTCCTATAGCAAAGGGTCTCTCTCTCTCAAGTTCAGATATTACTGGCAGTAGCAGTGGTGAGAGCCTTTTTATCTTTGGAAAGTTTTGGGAGTTGGGGAGTCTTTGCCACGAATGGAAGAAGAACAACTTTGTAGAGTACAATTATAGCCTTCACCGGATGTTCAAGAGGACCAGAAGACTAGTGGTCTTTGTGCAACTACAAGGAAAGAGGGGGGAGAGAGAGAGAGAGAGAGAGAGAGGAGAGCAAATAAAAAACTTGAGTCAAACGCTGTATTGGAGTAGTACTGTAGTCATGAGGTGCCCCCGCGTGGGTCTCTCAGTTTCTCGAGGGCGCGGCAAGATTTGTCCACACTGTTCATGTCGCACACAACGGACGGATAATTCATTTAGAATATTCTACTTATTTTTTCCAATGAACATTCATAGAATTTTTATTTTAATGTATTAGATTGGTGTTCCAAAGATAGTGGGTTGCTCAGATGAATATTTTGTATAATACGAAAATATATTAGATTTAGGAATGGTAACCGTTTAGTTTTGGGACGAAAATGCTATATTCATCTTCATAATTATGAAAATTAATCATATTCATAACCGTCAATTAATCATTGGATATTATCCATAACCATACCCATCGAGTAATGGATTTCCTATCGGTTAACGGTTATACCTATCTTCGTCAATACAAAAAATATATTCGTTCAATTGACTCATTATAATTTAGTAACTATTAATTTCGTCATTAAATATTTGATGTGTAAAATGATTTAATGAATGAATCTTGTGGAACATAAAAATTAAAGCTAAACATTGATAATGTTGGCTGATTTTTTATTCTCCCATAAGTACTATTGGTTTGGATTCTCATATATTTTGATTCATATCAAAACTTTTTAACTTGCCCACAAAATGCAACTCACATAGTGCAACTTTTGTATTCTTAAGGTAATGGATTAGGTATAATAAATAAATAAATATATATATATGTACATATATATATATTATATAATACAATTATATTATATATAAATACTATTATATTATACATAATTCGGGTCGGATAAGGGGACGGATACAAAATCCTATAACCATATCCAAAATCATAGCCGAATATTATTCATAGTTTTTCCCAATATCCAAAATATATCCAAATTTTCATATCAAATCCAATCTATTCGGACGATTATCCACGATTATTGATTTTAACCGCTATAATTGTCATCCCTAATTAGATTGGTGTTCTTGGATTGTAGCATCCTTAAGTAATGGCGTTGGTTATGATTTGATCATCAATAGTTGTTTTATTCCCTGCTAATCATGACTCGAGGTTTCTTCATTTTGCCTTATATGGATAAATAGATTTTGACATAAAAAATTTTCTTAATAAGGGACCACTTATGATAAAGAGTTTTAGATTTGATTCTTATTAATTTTTTTTTATTAGCGAATTTTATGTCAAATTATTATGACTGCACAATTATATAACAACTTTCGACAAAAAAAATAAAATTATATAAGTTGACTCAAATTTTAGTCTCTTAATCTAAATATATCGTTGTTTTCAAATAATAAAGAGGTATTGGCCGATTCTCCCTTTCCCTTCACCCCACCCAACATGTAAGGAATTGCCAATTTTCCTTCTGAATTTTAATTTCCTTCCTAAATCCTAAACCCTGAAATTCAAACAAACAAAAATATACGCAGTGAACTAGCGGAACAAAAGAAGAAAAAAGAAACAATATGTGGTCTAAATTAGAAATAAAATTACCTTTTGCAATTATAAAATTAAGTTCAGGGAATAAGAATAAGGAAATTGGCCGATAAAAGTTCATGATGTAATCGGCTAAAACTTAAATCCAGGGAAAAATTGGCCAATTATAAACAAGTAATTGGCTAAAATTAAATTTCATAGGGAAATTAGCAAGCTCCTTAAAGCATCTCCAAAGAATATGTCAAAACTGCCATATAGACATACAATATTAAAAAGTGACAGCAAACTTTCTTCAACCGAGCCTTCAATTTCTTATGTGGCACTGAGTCATTTGAAAGCAAGGTCTTCTGGTGGCATTTATTTTATTAGATTAGATATTAGATTAGCCACTAATGGAGTTTAAACCCATGTTGTCGTGTAATGGCTCAACACCTTTCTACTATTATGGTAAAGGGCTACTTGTTTTTTTTTTTTTTCCTGTTTTTGCCTTATATGGATAATATAATTTGACATTAAAAATATTTGAAGGGCCCACCTCTAATTAATGAGAAATTTTAAATTTAATTCTCGTAAATAACGAATTTTATGTCAAATTATTATGACTTCTTTATTATATAACTTAATGCAAATTTTCAGTTCTTAGTCTAAATGTATCGTTGTTTTCAAATAAATAAATAAAATAAAGGGAGATAGCCAAACATGCAGCAGCTGCATGAGCTTGCTCTTTCCCATTGAGAGAAAATTATGAGAAACGATAAAATGACCAAACAATAATTATGTTGTAAAATTAGACAAAATATGAAGTGTAGAACATGAAAGTAATTTTTGTGTTATTTTCTCTTAGTTTCTAGTTTATAACCTCAACTTGACATATTGTTACGGATTATTTTTTTTGTATGATTACAGTTTAATATGTATGGTTTAAAGATTGAAGATATTCGTTAACACTTTGATTTTTCAAGTTGAAAATATAACCAATTCACCTACACATACCACCCCTTTTGTTGGGAACTTGCGTCGAACAAAGTCTTCCCACATTAGATGCAACGAGGGCCGCAAATTAAACATTAGGGCTACACATTAAGCTATGTGGTGGAGGTGAGTTGTCGGCCAAGCTCGCCATCCATTTGTTACATTTACTCACGGACAATGCATGCATGGGCATCCATATTTATAATTAATGAGTTGTCAACAGCAAAATATGAGTTAGAATTCACGCTACTATTTTCTTCGAGTCGTTATGTAAATAGACATTAATCGCTTGTGAAATCAACTTGCTTCAAAGACTGGTACATAAATTATCGATGCCATTGTTGGTATTGCCTTAAGCTAGATCCCCTTTATTCTGTATACAATATGCTGACATTGTCAACAGGTAACAAAACGCAACAATAAGATAAGAAGTTTAACATTTACTCATATTCTAATTAATCACATAAAGAAACATTAAACAAGACGTTTACAAACTTACAATTGCACAATATAAAATTATACATGCGAAAAGTAAAATAATCTGACTATATGTATATATTTGTGAATTTTGTGATTTCCATTTTATTTTCGGTCTTCTATTGCACTCTTAATTCGGTGGATAAGGTAACATTTCCACACCCCATACATCTTTCTTCAGGCATTGAGATTCTATTCTAAAAGCAAATGACAACACAAGCATGGCCCCAAAAATAGGGGTACCCAACACAAGAATGAAAGTTTATCTTTTTCGGGATATAATCTCGTGTGATTGCTCACTCATTACGTAATATATGACAATGTGAATATATTTCTGGTGACACCCAACATCACAAGAGTCCTACAACCCCAACAAACTGTCAGACAATATTACAACCCAAAAACACTTGGAGTAAATTACGATTCCTACAATTCCTCAAACTAAAATCATGTTAAGCCAACAGTTTTAACTAAACCAATTTTAGGACAAGATACAACCAAGTTTAGATCTTTCTTTTTTTTTCCTCCCCGCAAAGATATAAAAGCCCACAAAAAATTCTGAATTTCAGGTTTTTGTTGGGTACAAAGAAGAACAGATAATAAGGAGAAGGCAGGTTCGACATAGAATCTTGGAATAATAATCTCTTTGTACGTGTGTTGTGAGTAGTATATTATGGGTAAGCTTCAACCAATAAAACTTGGAGATCCAAGTAGTAGTAAGATTCAAATTGGTTTCATTACCATTACGTACACAAAATTTATGACCTTTTTGAAGAAAAAAAAGATTGCAAAGAAAGCATTGTAGCGTTTTATCTAGTTTGCCTGGGAGCATGCATAGCATACGTTGGAGTTATTGGCCGTCTGAACTTATATGCTTGTATCACAAAGAACACGTGGTCCATAGGTAGATGGATCAGGGTCACGTGAGAGTGCCCTGTGTGAGGGCTAAGCCCATTTCTTGATCAAGAAGAAGTAAATGGAAAGTGGGGGAAGATCCATGGAGAGAAATGAACATAAAAACGCCTATACTTCTTGCTCAATCTTCATTGTAAACCCTGGCATCATTTTTCCAGACAAGTTCATTCAGTCGCATAGAAAGTGAATCTGATTTTCTTATTTTATTTTTTGCTTTCTTATCCCATTCGTCTTTGTGATCTTATTTTTATGAAAATGCATCATTTTACTTTGTATCCCTACTTTGTTTTATCCTTGAAACTGATGTCAAAAATTATTTTTTTTTGGTGATTTAGGTACTCTAGAACATTCATTGAGAAGTGCCAATCTTCGAGATTAATTAAGTAGTTAGTTTAATTGAATTTGATACCCTAACCCGCAGCACTTGACCAGTGCCAATCTTTATATCAATAACGTCAATTATTTGTACTAATAATATGCCGATACATTTTGTTATTAACATGTTATATACCAACGTTACGACGTTTATTCGACACAATATCAACAATTCACCCCTTAATAAATAAGGAACATCCTGCCCTTAAAAGGTCTGTCCGATGTACAATTAATTAAAGAGAGAAAATAACCGAAAACGAAAAATCAAAAGTCAGGGACGACGAGAGAAATCTGGAGGGAAAAAAAATCTTGGTGATGCAAACAAACAAAGGTTTCTATAATCAATCATCTTTGTCCTCCAAATCTAGACCCCAACACTAACAATCAATTTGCAGATTGACACTGCTGAAGCTATACCCAGCTCTAATATAATCCAATCTGGTCTTTTCACATTGCAAGCCTGAAGGGCTAATCCCATTGTGATAGCACTATGAAATATATTGCAGAAATATACCAACTATTTATATGATCAAATATAATAAATTAAATGTATAATCACTATTAGACTTATGAAGATTAAATTAGGAAAAATGAATAAGAATATCTGGCCTGTGAACCGAAGAGAGGCACGATGTCACTGCCCTAAAGTCGTAGACGCCTCCCTACGTGCAGGTTATGGCGGTGCCTATAACTCTAAGATACAACCCAAAGCCTCACAAGATGTATGACCCATTATGCACGCCAAAGGCAGACAGGATTGCCAAGTAGTAATCAATTGCTCAAGAATTATAAA